ATCACAACGTTTCGGCCGTTCAGTATCTGTCTTTTTTTTTCCTGAGATGAGCTATTATGTACACTATTTAAATTATTCGGACTATTGTCCACATCTTCGTCGCCATATTTATTACAACGTTTCGGCCTTTCAGTATCTGTCTATATTTCTGAGATTAGGTATTATGTACACTATTTACATTATTCGGACTATTTTCCTCATCTTTGTCGCCATATTTATTACAACGTTTCGGCCTTTCAGTATCTGTCTATATTTCTGAGATGAGCTATTATGTGCACTATTTACATTATTCGGACTATTGTCCTCATCTTTGTCGCCATATTTATTACAATGTTTCGTCAAGGACACGTGGCACGGTTGATAATGGCGTTGGTTAGATCCAATGAGAGGACCCAAAGAGTGTGAGTTCAATACCCGGGTAAGAACTTGGAGAGGGTAATTAACTGATAACTGACATCCATTAAACATGGCACGTGGAACTGGAACAGTGTACTCCAGTGAGCGAAATAAACGGTTCAGTTCGACATTCTAACCACATGAAGAAGGCCGGAGCGTACAACGGCCGAAACGTTGTAATAATTATGGTGACAAAGATGAGGACAATACTCCAAATAATGTAAATAGTATATCTGCATTATCTGTAGTACTCATTTTTTTCTATTTCTGCATATTATTCGTTGAGTCATTCCTCTGTAACTCGCATGACTCTGTTTGTCATTTATTTGTGTAGAGTTCTCTATACTATGTCTTAATTTGTCATTGGTTTTCCCCTTTTCATCTTGAGAATTACATCTGTCTTTTTTTTTTTCTTTTGCCTGTTTTTGTTTCTCGGGAATGATCTCAATTGCTGATGTTATTAATCCTTCTATTAATCTCTTCTATTAATCCTTCTATTAATCTCTTCCACATCGAGTTTCTATTAATCCTTTTTTTTCGTTGTGTCTGCTTTTAACATTCTGATTTTGTCCATATATTTTCAATTCATATACGGGTGATTTAGGTGTCTGTCCTACTGCAGTTATCACTCTATGCAAGGTAGTAAAGCCACTAAGACACAAAGGCTTTACAGTGTGTGGAATAATTAGAAACAGAAATATGAATAATCACCCGGAAGAGAAAAGAGTAATCAGAAGGACATTAGACATCTATTAACATTGCATTTCATTTTTTGAAAATTAAAATTGGCTGGAAAGCATGGATCAGGAGAGGAGTTCCACAAGCTAGAAGTGCGAGAAATAATTATTAGCATAGAATTTATGGCAATTTTATAGCAAGGTCAAAAATAAATTAATGAGATCTAGACTCCACAGCACCTAAATTAAACATTCTATGCACCATAGAGTAGTACTCATCCGAATAATTAACATGAAAGTATTTATTTTTTATGAAATATAAAAGAAGAAGGCATTTACTATAGAATGATCTCTATCTATAAAAGGCAGGATGTGTGTGTGTGTGTGTGTGTGTGTGTGCGTGTGTGTGTAACGAATGCACGGCCGCAATTTTTGACGGATTTGCACCAAAATTTACATGCACATGCTCCAAATTAGCGGAAAGGCCAAGACTGACTTTGCATTTCCCAACTCCCATCGGTAGTGGAAATAATTGATTTTTTCATGCTTCTACGGCAGTTTTCATGCTGTTTTCGGCCATTTTCTACTGGTCATAGTGAAAGCCTATAGTTGGTTGTCAGGAATAGGCAGGAAGATTCTTTTGGCCAGCGTGAGAGCCAACAGCTGACTGACACGAATGTTAACTAGCATGCTAGTATGCTAAAAATTCTATAACTGCATTCGTCACAAGTGGGAAAAATTTAAATCTGCATGGCACTTTACTCCAATTGGCTCATTCGCTTGCTTAAACTCAACGTTGATTCTGATTCCGCAGAACTGGGTTGGGTGTGAAAAAGTATTTGTTGTTAACATTCTTTTGTCATTCGGTTTTTCCAGTTACGAGTCCTTTTTTAATGCTGATCGTTTTCTGTTCATTTTGTTTAGTTCTTTTTATGTAACAGATTTAATGTTTAGTATAGAGCGTAGAAAAAATTTGCAGTGCAAGAAGTAAGGCATGTTGCAACATCAGCACGGCAAAGGGCATCCTTTGAAGGCAAGGAAGGGCAAAAATATTTTAAGTCAAGTGATAGCGATTGCTGTATGAGTCGTACGATTTTTTAATCAAGCACGGGCAACGCCGGGCTATGCTGCTAGTTCTCAATAAAATTTCCAGGTTAAAATACTACTGATTATGTTATGTCCGGAAAATATGAAAGGGCAATTGAAGTTATATGAAGAACAGAAGAATACGATGGTGTAAGACACTCTAGATACTTTTTTTTTTTTTTAAAATATCAGATTAATAAACATTAAATCAAAGCATTTTGTATTGTCTTATATAGGATGTTGCAAATCCAACACTTGACAAAAGGAAAAACGAAATAGGCAATAAAAACAAAAGTTGTATATGCAGAGACCTGACAGTTTATTTAGCAACAGTTAGAGTT